TGAAGAAAATTTGAAGAAAATATCAGAGACGCACTTACATTCATTTCAACCGCGTGTGAAAAGTGTGAGTTCGATTCGACTGAATAATATTAAACATCGCATGATTTTTGTCTGTGTTCCATGCCATAAAGCCGGGACATCACATTTTACAGGACTGATAAAGTTGGCCAGCTAGCTAAATATAGTTTGTTTAAAATGTTGTAAAATAGGCCGCATACCGCGGAGCTGTGCGGAGAGGGGCAGGGCATAGCCTCATAGTTTTTTTTTTACATTAAGATAAGATTGCTACTGTCCCACATGCTGGACTCAAGGTAGTTAACAAACATGCGGTTTAAGTTTTCTTGAAAGACTATAAAAATGCCTCCTCCGCCCATCAGATGCAAAGAAATGAATATACTATGTTGTGTGCATGAGCCTTCACTAAATAAATAAATAAATAAATAAATAAATAAATAAATAAATTAATTAATTAATTAATTAATTAATTATTATTATTATTATTATTATTATTATTATTATTATTATCATTATTATTATTATTATTATTATTATTATTACGTCCACACCTCGACAAAGGAAGTCCTTAAAACTTTTACCTCCGGACAAGAAGACAAACTGCAGAATCATCTGATTTTGCAAGGCTCCTTCTTCTCAAATGTCATTAAGTTTTCACTGTCGAAATTAAACGGTATATGGTCTAAATCCCAATCAAACCTCCCAAAGAACATCTATAACTTCACCATTCGTTACATTAATAACTCACTTCCAACTCGTAAAATTAAACCTTACTAAATGGGGAATATTGTCCAACTCTGATTGCTCCTTCTGCTTAAACCCTGAAACCCTTTTACACGTAGTTGCTGGATGTCAAACGTATCTCCCACGATTTACATGGAGACATGATTCTGTTCTGAACTTCATAGCACAAACGCTACAACCTGTAAACAACTCCAATCTTTTCGTCGATCTTCCTGGTTATAAAAGCCCATCAATTGTAACTGGTGACACATTCCGCCCAGACCTACTTCTATCTATCAACTCGGATTGTCTCTATATCCTTGAACTTTCTGTTGGTTATGAGTCTAATCTACAAACAAATGTTGATCGGAAAAGAAGAAGATGCGAAGATCTCATTACACAGCAAAAGAAACAATTTAAGTCCGTAAAATTTGTAAATTTGTCAATTAGTTCTTTAGGCGTTTTCTCAAAAGAATGTCGTTCCTTTTTAGATATGTTAACTGATCTAGGTCTTGATAAAAGGCACCAATATTTCGCTATCAGGAAAATTATGTCTATCGCGATTAGGACAACATATTATATATTTTGTTGCAGAGATAAGGACTGGTTAAATCCGGAATTACTGAACATTTAAGGATACTCATTATTAATATATAAATACTAAGTAGGTTCAAGTAATCAATTATAAATTACCTAAATTAGTGAGATTTATAATTGTATATATACGTATATAATTTCAATAAAGTTTCCATTATTATTATTATTATTATTATTATTATTATTATTATTATTATTATTATTATTATTATTATTATTATTATTATTATTATTATTATTATTATTATTATTAACCAGTCAAGGATCCTTTTTCTGCAGCGTCACGAAGTTCGCTTTACCTCAGCTTAACAAGGTGTTGATTCCAGTTCGCTGATGACGTATAGCCGTAATCACTGGCCAAGAATCTGAAAACCAGCATCTCTTGAATCGTTTTTCCATCTGGTGCCAACGGTCCAATATGATTATCAGAGTCGATAAATGTAGTACCTTTGGCATCAAGAAAGCCATCACAAAATCAGTCCAATATTTGTCGAAACTCCTCGTCAACAGTAATCTGATACCGACAATAAAGAGTGGAGAAGCATTTCAATATTTAGGACGTTACTTTGATTTTAACATGTCGAATAATAACCATAAGACTGAACTAACCACTCTCGTTAATGAACTAATGACTGATATTGACTCGAAGCCACTCCACCCAAGAAATAAGCTTCTCGTATACAGTCGTTATGTCTTATCCAAAATATCGTGGCATTTCACCATCGCAACACTTTCTAAAACATGGGTTATTGAAAATATTGATCCCGTAGTCAACCAGTACATCCGTAAATGGCTTGAAATTCCAATCTCAGGAACACTAAGTACTGTTTTTCTAACTCGCAACAAATTTGGTCAAAGTATTTATCCTCCATCGGTGAAATTTATCCAATGCCAAACAGTTCTTCGAAAAGCTTTAAAACTTTCTCCAAATCAATCAATCAACGAACTGTGGAAATCTACTAATACTCATACTAATATCCAATACGACTTTTATAACTCAACCAAAGAAGTGCTTAAAAACTTTCGGTCTGAACATGAAGATAAACTCCAAAATCAATTAACTTGTCAGGGATCCTTTTTCTCTAGTGTAACAAAGTTCTCCTTGTCGCATCTTAACAAAGTGTGGTCTACTGCTCAATCAAAACTTCCGAAAAACATTTATAACTTTACCATACGCTATATCAATAACTCTCTTCCGACACGCAAGAACCTTAGCAGATGGGGATTGTCTTCAAGTTCAGAATGCTCCTTTTGTCTTGGCCCAGAATCATTATTGCACGTGGTCGCTGGATGTCAGTGTTATCTCGATCGATTTACGTGGAGACACAATTCAATCTTGAACTTCCTTGCCAATACCTTGCAAACTGTGAACGGTTCTGCCCTCTACGCTGATGTGCCTGGATTCAAAAGTCCTTCAATAATAACTGGTGATGCTTATCGCCCGGATTTGTTGCTATCGTTATCAAATGGCTCTCTTTATGTGGTCGAGCTCACTGTTGGCTATGAGACAAACCTCGAGAACAACGTTAATAGGAAAAAAGCCAAATATAAAGAACTAGTAAAACAACTAGACGAAAATTTTAACGAAGTAAACTTTATAAATCTTTCTATGAGCTCCCTAGGTATTTTTGCGCAAGAATGCTCTACATTCTTAGAAATGTTAGGAAATGTTGGTCTGGACAAAAACTACCAAACGTACTGTGTTAAGAAAATGATGACTATTGCCATTCGAAGTACATACTATATTTTTTGCTGCCGAAATAAGGAATGGGAAAGTCCGGACTTGTTAACTATTTGAAATATCTGATTGTCTTGTATATTTATATATTTTCATGTATTCTGTCTTATCATTTTTATTAGTTCATATAGTTGTGATTCAAATAGCCAATTGTAAGTTACCTTAAATTAGTGAGATTTACAATTGTATATATATAGTATATAACAAAATTATTAAAGTTTCCATTATTATCATTATAATTATTATTATTATCATTATTATCATTATTATCATTATTATCATGATTATCATGATTATCATGATTATCATTATTGTCATTATTGTCCTTATTGTCCTTATTGTCATCTTTATCATGATTATCATGATTATCATGATTATCATGATTTTCATGATTATCATGATTATCATGATCATCATTATTATCATTATTATCATTATTATCATTATTATCATTATTATCATTATTATCATTATTATCATTATTATCATTATTATCATTATTATCAAGCAGAAAATTCTACTTGCATGACCGCGGCTGGCATTCGAACCCGCGACCTTCGCATTTCTAGAACGATGCTCTACCGTCTGAGCTACAAGGTCAAGCTGAGAACGACTTGTTAAGTTATGATGTTAGTTGCATTTCGGAGGTTAGTCCTTCAATGCGTAAAGCCAGCTATTAGTATGGCGATGTTGTATGTGAATGTGTTGTGGTTTCCCACGTTTACGATTCCACTCGTGTAACGTTATGTACAGCGGATTTGAGTTGTTTTCAGACGAGTGTATACCAAACCGGGCAAGCCGAAAATTCTACTTGAACGCGACTGAGATTCGTACCCGCGACCTTCGCATTTCTAGAACGAAGATATATATATATATATATATATATATATATATATATATATATATATATATATATATATATATATATAAAATATATAATTGTTATTATGTGCGTTCCTGCTTTATTTGTTGCATCACATATGTACTGTTTAAAACACGAGAAGGAGTGTTTTAATTTATCATATTTAAAACGCCAGGCGCAGCCGAGCATTTTAGATATGATAAAATACGAGTTCGAGTGTTTTGAATAGCTTAAAATACGACTACAAAAGAATACTAATTAGGATGAACAATTATATAATCATACTAATTAGAATGAAGAATTATATAAAGATTACTAATTAAGATGAGTTTTATCAGATATAAAGTCACTCCGCGTGACATATTATTGCTGACATGATTTGCCACAAGGTTTATTAATTTTTAATATATATATATATATATATATATATATATATATATATATATATATATATATATATATATATATATATATATATATATATATATATATATATATAATATATACTGAAGACTATATTCAAAAAAATAGTCGATGAGTTGACGTAAGGTAGAAGAGCGCTCAATACCATAATAAGTAGAGCGGAATTAATTCAGTCAAGGTTTGAATGTTTGCGTCGCTACTCTGAGTTTCACGCTTTACGCGATCATCAGGCAACTGACAGATATTATTCAATATTCATAATAAATATAGGTTATCATTTACAACTTGATTAAGCAGGTATCTGGTTACATGTCTACATTTGGAAAACAAGTCAGAGCGTTTGTTCAGGCATTCAGTTTTCTTCGCTTTCATAATAAGTAGTTTCTCCTCGAGGCATAAATTACACCGTTTAGATCCTGGTTTGTATGCTTTGACTTTCTTCATAATGGACCACTTTATTGTATACTGACTTTTTTCTGACTTCAGTTTCCAGACGTACTTGGACAGTTCGGTGTTGCTCTTGTATTCCTCATGTCGGAAAGACTTAGTGTGATTGCGGTATCTTGTTTTGAAATCGCCCGCCGTCATGCCAATGTATATTTTCTTTTCCTGGTTGTTGGCAGTGCTGGTTGTCACTTCGGCTTTGTATACGATGCTCTCAGTAAGACATTTTTTACCAAGTGGACAGTTGGCGGGTTTTTGGCAGTTGCACATTGGCGTGTCGTTTTTTGTAGGTGTTGGTATTACCGTTGGTATGGATGATTGTATTACCCTAGCAGTTGGCGTTCGTTTTGTGTTTCGGTTCAGTATATTACGATTGTGTTTACGGATGAGATTTTTCATGTTTGTCATGCAACTGTAACTAACACGGACTGTGTGGCGGTTGAAAAGTTTGTGCAGTTTGTTTGAGGGAGGAAAATGCTTGTCAATTAGGTTTAGGAATGTCTGTGCTACATTGGTCTTAACGTTCTTGCTATAAGGTGGGTTGTACCATGTAATGTTTCGTTGTCTGTTTCGTTTATCGGAGTTATTAGTGTTGTTTTGAGTTTGTGTGTACGTTAGGTTAACGTCAAAGTTGCTTTGCTTGAGAGCGTTGTTGTAAAGTGGTGCTGCTGCGTTGAATGCTTCTTCGTAGTTTGTTAATGCGTTTGTTGACTGAGTGTGGAAGTTGTCGTGTGATGGAAGGTGGATGGTTTGATAATCTGTTTATGTACAGTGGTTCGTCATTAGGTTTCCGCTATGGTTTATATTTACCGTTTGATAGGTCAAGCGTCAGGTCAAGGAAGTTCACGCACTTGATGTTTGTCTGGGCGGTGATTCTGAGGCCAAAGCTCTCAAAAATGGTGATCAACTCTTTCCTCGCCTTGTCCGCAAGTCTGCCTGATGTTGTTCTGAGGGCAGCCAAGCCGTCGTCACGGTATAGGCCTACGTCTTTCCCAAAGCGTTTCTCGAGTGTGTTCAGAATGAAAAGTCCGACGAGTTCACAGACCTCAGCGCCATCGAAACTTCCCATGGTCACGTCAAACGTGGTGGTGTTGTTCTTCTTCGTCCAAGCTTGTTGGTTGTAAAAAAGAAGGGATCTGCGCGCGTGCTTCACAATGCGGATATCGCTGTCGGAAATTGCGATGAATTGTTGGCTCCATGCGATTGCACGGTCGAGTAGACTTTCAGTTATGGACGGGTAAAATTCGACTATATCGAAAGATAGGAAAGACAGTCTGTCCTTGTTAGTTAGTGAGTCAAACCAAGTGATTGTGTCCTCAGAGTTTCTCCACTGGTTTGCACAAGTTTGTCGGCGGATTTCAGCATTGATTTTGTCCAAGATGGTTTTGCTAACTTTGCCGAGATCAGATTTCGCCGGGTTTATCAATCGGCACTTTGGATGGTTTTCGAAGCCGTCCTTGTGATCTTTTAGTGAAATAAACGCCGGCGGTTGGGTTGCTGGTTCCATGCGGTTTCCAATGTTTAATTCATTAGCAATATTTTTAAGTTCGTGGTTAATTTTGTCAACTGTTCCGTCTTGTGCCAATTTGTAGGTTTTGGTGATGTTCTCAGTCAACAATTTGTTGTATTTGTCCGCGTGCATTTCATAAATGTTGTGTGTCTTGTCAGCAAAGATGAAGACATTTTGAGACGCTTCTATCTTTCGTTTGTCTTGCTCTAAGGTGTTCATGAATTCGTCGTTTACGTGTCGGAATTTGATGTTCTCTGTCATATGTATAATGTCGTCTTCAAAGCGTTTCAGCTCGGGCACAGCCGGTGGTGATTGTTTTGATTTCAAACCGAACGTGGGAGTCTTTTCACGCTTGCCGCTTTCGCCGTTTAAGTAGAAATGCGCTTTCCATCTCATGCGTTTAATAACATTTTCGGTCTTGTGAATGAGTTCTCTGTGGTATTCGTCGTATCCGGGTAAGCCTATATTTTTTAGTGAATAGTTGAATCGTATCTGCTGCATTCTTCCTTTCACTATACCAAGGCAACAAGAGCGCTCTACTAGGAAAAGGAGCGTTATACTGAAGACTATATTCAAAAAAATAGTCGATGAGTTGACGTAAGGTAGAAGAGCGCTCAATACCATAATAAGTAGAGCGGAATTAATTCAGTCAAGGTTTGAATGTTTGCGTCGCTACTCTGAGTTTCACGCTTTACGCGATCATCAGGCAACTGACAGATATTATTCAATATTCATAATAAATATAGGTTATCATTTACAACTTGATTAAGCAGGTATCTGGTTACATGTCTACATTTGGAAAACAAGTCAGAGCGTTTGTTCAGGCATTCAGTTTTCTTCGCTTTCATAATAAGTAGTTTCTCCTCGAGGCATAAATTACACCGTTTAGATCCTGGTTTGTATGCTTTGACTTTCTTCATAATGGACCACTTTATTGTATACTGACTTTTTTCTGACTTCAGTTTCCAGACGTACTTGGACAGTTCGGTGTTGCTCTTGTATTCCTCATGTCGGAAAGACTTAGTGTGATTGCGGTATCTTGTTTTGAAATCGCCCGCCGTCATGCCAATGTATATTTTCTTTTCCTGGTTGTTGGCAGTGCTGGTTGTCACTTCGGCTTTGTATACGATGCTCTCAGTAAGACATTTTTTACCAAGTGGACAGTTGGCGGGTTTTTGGCAGTTGCACATTGGCGTGTCGTTTTTTGTAGGTGTTGGTATTACCGTTGGTATGGATGATTGTATTACCCTAGCAGTTGGCGTTCGTTTTGTGTTTCGGTTCAGTATATTACGATTGTGTTTACGGATGAGATTTTTCATGTTTGTCATGCAACTGTAACTAACACGGACTGTGTGGCGGTTGAAAAGTTTGTGCAGTTTGTTTGAGGGAGGAAAATGCTTGTCAATTAGGTTTAGGAATGTCTGTGCTACATTGGTCTTAACGTTCTTGCTATAAGGGGGGTTGTACCATGTAATGTTTCGTTGTCTGTTTCGTTTATCGGAGTTATTAGTGTTGTTTTGAGTTTGTGTGTACGTTAGGTTAACGTCAAAGTTGCTTTGCTTGAGAGCGTTGTTGTAAAGTGGCGCTGCTGCGTTGAATGCTTCTTCGTCACATGATAGTTTGTTAATGCGTTTGTTGACTGAGTGTGGAAGTTGTCGTGTGATGGAAGGTGGATGGTTTGATAATCTGTTTATGTACAGTGGTTCATCATTAGGTTTTCGGTATGGTTTATATTTACCGTTTGATAAGTCAAGCGTCAAGTCAAGGAAGTTCACGCACTTGATGTTTGTCTGGGTGGTGATTCTAAGGCCAAAGCTCTCAAAAATGGTGATCAACTCTTTCCTCGCCTTGTCCGCAAGTCTGCCTGATGTTGTTCTGAGGGCAGCCAAGCCGTCGTCACGGTATAGGCCTACGTCTTTCCCAAAGCGTTTCTCGAGTGTGTTCAGAATAAAAAGTCCGACGAGTTCACAGACCTCAGCGCCATCGAAACTTCCCATGGTCACGTCAAACGTGGTGGTGTTGTTCTTCTTCGTCCAAGCTTGTTGGTTGTAAAAAAGAAGGGATTTGCGCGCGTGTCTCACAATGCGGATATCGCTGTCGGAAATTGCGATGAATTGTTGGCTCCATACGATTGCACGGTCGAGTAGACTTTCAGTTATGGACGGGTAAAATTCGATTATATCGAAAGATAGGAAAGACAGTCTGTCCTTGTTAGTTAGTGAGTCAAACCAAGCGATTGTGTCCTCAGAGTTTCTCCACTGGTTTGCACAAGTTTGTCGGCGGATTTCAGTATTGATTTTGTCCAAGATGGTTTTGCTAACTTTGCCGAGATCAGATTTCGCCGGGTTTATCAATCGGCACTTTGGATGGTTTTCGAAGCCGTCCTTGTGATCTTTTAGTGAAATAAACGCCGGCGGTTGGGTTGCTGGTTCCATGCGGTTTCCGATGTTTAATTCGTTGGCAATATTTTTAAGTTCGTGGTTAATTTTGTCAACTGTTCCGTCTTGTGCCAATTTGTAGGTTTTGGTGATGTTCTCAGTCAACAATTTGTTGTATTTGTCCGCGTGCATTTCATAAATGTTGTGTGTCTTGTCAGCAAAGATGAAGACATTTTGAGACGCTTCTATCTTTCGTTTGTCTTGCTCTAAGGTGTTCATGAATTCGTCGTTTACGTGTCGGAATTTGATGTTCTCTGTCATATGTATAATGTCGTCTTCGAAGCGTTTCAGCTCGGGCACAGCCGGTGGTGATTGTTTTGATTTCAAACCGAACGTGGGAGTCTTTTCACGCTTGCCGCTTTCGCCGTTTAAGTAGAAATGCGCTTTCCATCTCATGCGTTTAATAACATTTTCGGTCTTGTGAATGAGTTCTCTATGGTATTCGTCGTATCCGGGTAAGCCTATATTTTTTTTAGTGAATAGTTGAATCGTATCTGCTGCATTCTTCCTTTCACTATACCAAGGCAACAAGAGCGCTCTACTAGGGAAAGGAGCGTTATACTGAAGACTATATTCAAAAAAATAGTCGATGAGTTGACGTAAGGTAGAAGAGCGCTCAATACCATAATAAGTAGAGCGGAATTAATTCAGTCAAGGTTTGAATGTTTGCGTCGCTACTCTGAGTTTCACGCTTTACGCGATCATCAGGCAACTGACAGATATTATTCAATATTCATAATAAATATAGGTTATCATTTTACAAACGAAACAGACAACGAAACATTACATGGTACAACCCCCCTTATAGCAAGAACGTTAAGACCAATGTAGCACAGACATTCCTAAACCTAATTGACAAGCATTTTCCTCCCTCAAACAAACTGCACAAACTTTTCAACCGCCACACAGTCCGTGTTAGTTACAGTTGCATGACAAACATGAAAAATCTCATCCGTAAACACAATCGTAATATACTCAACCGAAACACAAAACGAACGCCAACTGCTAGGGTAATACAATCATCCATACCAACGGTAATACCAACACCTACAAAAAACGACGCGCCAATGTGCAACTGCCAAAAACCCGCCAACTGTCCACTTGGTAAAAAATGTCTTCCTGAGAGCATCGTATACAAAGCCGAAGTAACAACCAGCACTGCCAACAACCAGGAAAAGAAAATATACATTGGCATGACGGCGGGCGATTTCAAAACAAGATACCGCAATCACACTAAGTCTTTCCGACATGAGGAATACAAGAGCAACACCGAACTGTCCAAGTACGTCTGGAAACTAAAGTCAGAAAAAAGTCAGTATACAATAAAGTGGTCCATTATGAAGAAAGTCAAAGCATACAAACCAGGATCTAAACGGTGTAATTTATGCCTCGAGGAGAAACTACTTATTATGAAAGCGAAGAAAACTGAATGCCTGAACAAACGCTCTGACTTGTTTTCTAAATGTAGACATGTAACCAGATACCTGCTTAATCAAGTTGTAAAATGATAACCTATATTTATTATGAATATTGAATAATATCTGTCAGTTGCCTGATGATCGCGTAAAGCGTGAAACTCAGAGTAGCGACGCAAACATTCAAACCTTGACTGAATTATATATATATATATATATATAGCTGAAAATCTAGCGGACTGTTCTATATATATATATATATATATATATATATATATATATATATATATATATATATATATATATATATATATATATATATATATATATATATAAACAAGTCGTTCTCAGCTTGACCTTGTAGCTCAGACGGTATAGAGCATCGTTCTAGAAATGCGAAGGTCGCGGGTTCGAATCCCAGCCGCGGTCAAGTAGAATTTTCTGCCTATATATATATATATATATATATATATATATATATATATATATATATATATATATATATATATATATATACCGGGTGGCGCAAAAAAAAGTTAACCTGTTTGATTTATTTTAACTTAAAAACAAAAAGAGCTATTACACCTAAACTACGTGCATTGCATTCAGTATTGTCTAACTTAAATTTTGATATACGCCCTGTGCAATGTCGTACAATATTGACCGAGAGAGCTGCGTTTAAACTTGAATAAACATTCTGGGAAGTGTCGAGAATTAGCTAAAAACGGCCTGTTAAACTAATTTGGCAACCGTCAACATTGCATCGTAAATATTCGTTTCAATGAAGTGAAGTTTAAATTAAAAATGTTTATTGGATGGATGTGCTCTTTTATTTTCGTTTAAGGTCTTTGGGAATGCATGAAAATTATATTATGAAGCGATTTTGATTAAGTGATTTATTCTAAATATTCAATGACCCTGGGGAATCAAATTCTAATGTTCCAAGAAAGAAACGTCAAGTGTTTTTTTATAAACACGCCTCGTTTAACAAAGGACCAAAGAGTTTCGATATGTTTAGAATATGCAAGGGTAAATAATGCTCGTGAGGTTATACTGGCGGCATTGGGCAGGTCTCTGACAACGAACGTGTACTTTCTGACTATAGTGCGTCTAAGCACAGGTTATTGCTGTATTAAATATTTGATAGGCCATTTTTGGCTAATTCTCGACACTTTCAAAAATGGTTACTCAAGTTTAAACGCAGCTCTCTCGGTCAATATTGCACGAAAATGCACAGGGCGTATATCAAAATTTAAGTTAGACAATACTGAATACAATGCACGTAGTTTACATGTAATAGCTCTTTTAGCTTTTAAGTTAAAACAAATCAAACATGTTAACCGTTTTTTTTTGCGCCACCCGGTATATATATATATATATATATATATATATATATATATATATATATATATATATATATATATATATATATATATATATATATATATATAATATATATATATATATATATATGTATATGTGAAACTTCTGCGATATATAACAGCAATACTCTTTGGAACATCCGCTATGTACAAGATACCAGCACCAAAGATCATCAGAAAGAGCAACCATAAAACTCTGCCCTTATAGAAATATGCTGATTCCATTCTGTTGCATGAACGCGAATGAATCGTGCCACAATTAAAGGTGTAAAATTATTATTCACAATAGAGTGTAGGTCACTGTTTCCCCCGAATACCTAAAATTAAAACAAGAGTAAAAAAGACATAGTGAAATTTCATATGTATAAAAGGAGGACCGTTATTCAGCTTACTTTAAGTATTCCCTTAGGTTTATAACTATGGAATTGTATTCCATTGTCGCCGAAAGATATCGTGTAGCTTTTGACAAATTGCACACAGCAATCCTCTCGCCCTTGAGTACTTATTCCTGTAATGATGACAGATCGTTGAAAATCCACTTGCAACCATTGATTGCGATCATTTCTTCCCGATGACCATGCCCCCGTTCTCCCGCCGTTTGCCATGAAGTTCAGTCTACCATTTGGTGCCCTGTGTCCTATGTTATATTCACTGGATGCTGTGATATGATTATCTCGAATTTTACCACTTTCCATACCGAGAGCTGTAGCATTTTTACATCCTATCAATTTACAAATAAGGAATATTTATTAGTGCATGCAATGGTAAATATTTTTACGACTGTGTTTAACGTCGGTGTCACGATCGATTCCACAATGAGAATCTTTCGCAGAGGCAAAATGTTCTTTCTCCGAGACTGTGCTAAGGTAGCCCCTGGTCAATGAATTGTTGCAGAATGGGTTTTATTCTGAGGGAGGGCTAATTTTGAGCTGAGTTGGGGACCGTACTAGCTTCCAAGCTAAGAGCAGATACGACATACAAAACATGATCCAAGTGTAACGGCAGTACGATAGGATTATACTTAAATTTTACGTGCTCTGATCTATAGTGGGTATTCTACTCCGAATGTTTCATAATTCAGGTAGGTTCAATTTGGATAACTTCGTGTGCATTGGACATTCCCGAACAAATTTTGTTGAACTACATGACGATGTTTCATGCCAACACTTTTCAAAAACAACATTAGCGATTTGGAGTATTTTTGTGGCGTCAACTCCCTGTTACAGGTAAACTACGTCAAGCGTTCCTTTTTTGAGTTCCTAACTTGATTAATTGCAATTTTCCTCATTACTTTTGCAAATTTGAAAAACGCCCTTGCAAATTTCTTGATGGAATTTGCAATGTTCTTAAGAGGCAAATAAATTTTCCTCAGTTCCTGTTCAAATTTCTTAACTTCTTGTTACAAGTTCCCAACTTCTAGTTCTGTTCTGTTCTGTTCTGTTCTGTTCTGTTCTGTTCTGTTCTGTTCTGTTCTGTTCTGTTCTGTCTGTTCTGTTCTGTTCTGTTCTGTTCTGTTCTGTTCTGTTCTGTTCTGTTCTGTTCTGTTCTGTTCTGTTCTGTTCTGTTCTGTTCTGTTCTGTGCGTTGTAAACGTTTCTCTGCATTGGAACGTTGCAACTTCCCTCGAGGGATTTGCAAAGAGTTTTTCAATTTTGCAAAGGTGATGAGAAACATTGCAATCAAGTTAGTAACCCAAAAGAAGAACCCTTCACGTAGTTTACCTGTAAAATGGCTACGGGTGCCAAAATGCCCCCAGTTGACCGCAATGTTGGTAATTTTGTTTTATTTGCCTTTTGGGTAGAAAAATGAGAATCTTCGTATTATTGCCTGGCTTACATCCTTTTTATTTTGTTGGGGGAGGGGAGATTAGCCATCGCTTTTACTGATGGGGGAACTGTAGCCACAATCCCCAGTTCAGCCAACTCCGCCCCTAAAAACATGCGTCAACACAAAAAACCCATCAACAAAAAAAAAACCATCGACAAAAAAAAGTCAACACTTTTCAAACTATGAGGCATGAAAAACCTGTTTATTTATAAATAGATCTTAAAATCAACTTACTGTTCTGGCATTGTATGTTTACATTATGGGACTGTCGACATGTACAGGTATACACCTCTGGTTCACAGGATTCCTCGACGCAGCGACCACTGTACGTCTGGCAAGGATGGTTGGTTGAACATATTTCCCTTAAAATGCAACAATTATTTTGAATATCGAAACTTAAAGCTACTAATTGAAATCCAATAGGAAAGGTTTCAACTAGCAAGTAGTTGCAGTTTGAGGGAAGACTATTAAACTAGGAAAGCAATTAGGTGTGGATGGGTGGGAGGGGGTGTGTAGTGTGCAAGTACTAACAACATTTTTCATATATATTAATGTGACAAGCAGGCGTCGTCACCTCCAAATAAGTGGGGAGTTGGGGGGGGAGGGTGCAATCGTTCGTCCATCAGGGAACCAAAATATTTTGATGTTCTATATAAAACTTCAAATATAATTCAAAGCAAACTTTCTGGTAGCTTGTTTACAAATTTGGAAATGATTCTTCAGAGCGCACATCAGTTTTTAAGACTCTAACATTTTAATTTAAAAAATTACGTTAAGTAACTGTTTGTATATTATTTTATCTGTTATATATGTTGTAATCTGGAGTCAAGCCTTGTAAGGGACCACGTGTCCTATTTCTTGTCTCCTGTCAACTTGTCTTTTGTTGCAAATGTCTTAAATAAATAACTAAATAAATAAATCTTGTCTGAATCGATAGGAGTTTACTTCTCTTAAGTTTTGAAATACTCTGAAATGCAGAAATATAAAAAGTAAAGCAGCAGGTTAAATTTTAACAGACGGTTAGCGATAGCACATCTTTGAACAACCGGCTCCTGGTTGAGAAATTGCTGAAAGTAGGAGGTAAAATATGTATGACGTATCCTGATAGTTAAGGAAATACTCTGGTCGCTGATTGTTTATTTTAACTTTTGAAATATGGAATGTCTGTCAATAGAACTGCAATAAGGACATGTTGTCTTCTACGTACTGAGACTGTCTGTATTCAAAAATGTTATTCAGCTTATTGAAATAATGTTTGTACAATCGAATTTTAAAGAAACTGAAAGTAGATGATTTACGCATTTCAATGTAAAGTGTTCCATAGTTGCACAATACGTTTGAAAAAGAAGTTTCTAAATAGTGAAGTACGGTAACGGTGAACTGGGTACAAGCTGCGAGTAGAGCTCCTTGTTGCGCCATTAAAGATTTGATTGTATTGTTCGAACTGTATATTAAACTGACAGTTTCTATATTTCTGCACAAAGCATAGATCATGACACTCCAGTCTCCAGACAGTAAGAAATAGCAAGCAGATTCGGATAAATCAATCGAGACTTGTAGTGACGACTGAGTCGCTACAATGAAGAATGAGTCGCCTACTTAAACAGTCTTTTTTAAGAGCCCAAATTTCGCTGGTGTAGCCTAAATGGGAGGGCTCGTATGTGGGAGCGTCTACTCTGAGCTGGTACAATGCATGAGTAACCGAAATGCCGATTTAGAAAGCCGAGAGTCTCGTTAGCTTTAGCAACAACAGAAAAAAATATGAAGGAATAAGAATATTTCCAATGTTTGAAACTGACTATATCCTTGCAGTGAATATACCTAACAGACGTCAGTTTGAAGATTCGTACAGCAAGCTCTTCCAGTAAATACAAGAGGTTGGTGTCAGGTTCCACATTATCCTCCCACCCCCTCCCCACCCCTCCACCATCCAAAAATAGAATCCAAAGACAACATTGACACCATTTGTAAGATTGTAAGAATGAAATGTTAAATAAGTTATACAACATCTCTGGCGATTTTTGATTACTTTATGCCAAGCCAGAGGTGGTTGGGTGACTATACCGGCAAGCATTGCGTCCCATCACTTTGGCGATATATGAGATATAATTGCGATTTTTGACAAACGTTTAGTGAAAAGTTGTTGAAATATATTGCGATTTTTATCTCTTTTTATCTCGGTATGTTTTCATGTTTGTATTATTTAAGAACCTAATTAGTTAAACTATTTTTTACTTGTTTGGTAAAGGAATTGCTTTTAGTTATGCTAATTACGTATTGTATTTATGCTTGATTCGGGTCAGTGGACACGCCACAAAAGTGGCTTTCAAAAAATGCAGAAGCTACTTTCATTTCTTTGAAGGAATTTAAAATAAAACACGTTATCGAATTAATTAAAGTACTTTAAAACTCAAAGTAGCTCGACGAAATTGACTAGTAATCGCGGTTTCAAAATGGGTTACTTTTGCTACATTCTTTCGCAGATGGCGGGAATTGACCGCGCGGTTATCATTTGGCGCGAAGTAAAAACTACAGTATACGATTCACTATTTTCTTCAAATTCTTTGGAACAAACGTACACATATTCCCACAGACTTTAAGTATCGTGTTACCCTTAAGCTTTGATATGCTTGTGTTTAACTGTACTGAGTCAAATAACCGTACCTGTATTTTAACCATTTATAGCCTCTCATAATATGAAGAATTTTATAAAATCCAATCGAACTTTGTTTCAGAAACCTGAAACATCACCAAAGGTATATATATCCAGATTACAATATTAATTAAACATATAATAAAAGTAAAGTGCGACTGAAATAAGATTGTTGTTTAACTGAAGGAAAATTTACGATTAAACATCGAAGTTTACACTGTTTATTCTGTGGTTTCCTAGCAGAAAGATTTATCTGATTCCTATGAAGAAATCTCCAGTAAAATATTATATTTAAAATGGACTTGGAGAAAGATAATGCACTTATTGAATTCATATCAATTATCAAAACAGATCCAAAGTATCAGTATGGAACACATGTCGTTGGAGAGTGGCCATCGTTTAACCCATTGAGCTGTAGAGATTCCCCATTGTCGAGTATAATCGTCTGGCGTTAGACAAGTAAAAAAAATAATTTGAGCCCACTGCGGCTCAGTGGGTTAACTAGAGACATTGTCAGATTTTTTCGTTAACCCATTAAGCTGCAAAGCTTCCACCATTGACGAGTAAAATCCTCTGGAGTTAGACAAGCAAAAAAAAAATAAGTAGGGCGCACTGAGACGATGACAGTTTAGCAGAACTTGTGATTGATAAGCGGAAAGCTACATCTCGTAAACTTAAGCCTGTTATGGAATCAGCAACACAGTGTAGTCATTTTGGTGCGGTTATTTTGCAGTGAGGTTCAAACACAAATTATTACAATTTGCAGGTTTACAAAGGAATGTAATTCCTCTAGAATGTTTAAATGTACATCATAAAGAGAAGAAGCATCACTATATTCGTATATATAGTGTATTTTTATCATACACCTTTCATGTAGCAAAATTAGAGTGATGTTTAACATATTTTTGTACTTTGACAGAAATAAATTTTATTGAACATGAATTCTGTGTGATCTGTTTACTTAAGGAGACTCCCTACAGTAGCGTGCGGGATGTTCGCGGGAACAGTACGTGAACTATCCCATGCAACCGCATGATTAAAACAAAACAAAAATAAACCGGGCTTTTTAAAAGAAAAACTATTCCTGAAAGGTTTTTAATGGGAAAAAGCGTTGAATAATACTTCGTTTTGAGTGGCAAATCACTTACGAGTCTATACGTATACAGCAATTCTACATATGATACAAACATCACTAGTCCAAAAATAGCTATACGAA